GAGAACAAGAGAATCAGAGATCAAAAGACCACACACTAATTTAGCTAATCTCTCTCTTTATATAAACTATTTGGGAACCTCTGACTTTGTTTAGGAAATAGAATATTTAATGAGGAAGAAATCGTTTGGAGGTAAGAGACTGATTAGGCTTTGTATTTCTTCTAAATTAAGATTTTCCCAACAGCTTTGACAGCTTATTTCGCAAGTGTACGAATCGCTACAAGTAATATATGATGAGTAAGATATCGTTCCCACGAGGATTGTAAACCAAGTACCAAAATTTGGTGTTATCTTGTTATTATTTAAATGATAATTAAGTAGGATTTTGTTGTATAAATGTAAAATAAACAAGAAGTCAAGTAAACCAAAAAGATTGATTAAAAAAAATCAAGAAAGTACCAGAGCTACTAGGGGTTTTGATTGCCACTTAACTCTATCACAAATTTAATTTCATTAGTTCATTAATCAATTTAATATTCCAGTAGGGGAAACAACCCAAAAAAATCACTAAACAAGACTCTCCGATGTAATTGTTAGCTATTATTTAACCCCGGTCTAATTACCTATCTTTCAATAGCGCAATCAAACATGAAAATTAAAATCATTAAGTTTTATGGTTTGTATTTGTGAATTCATAACCTAAGGTCATTAACTTATGAAAACCCCCATGGGTCAAGCCGTATAGGCTTCCGCATCAAAGTTATTAATTCTCATGTGTTTTATTAACCTTTTCATATCAAAGATCCTTCTTTCGCAGATGTGATAATTGAAAATAAATCAATCTAGGGGAAAATTCTGGCCTAGAAAGCAATTAAGTTTCATTAAATAAAAATCATAACTTGACATATAAGGAAAATAAAATCTAATTGCATAAATTGGAAAGAGATTAAGCTACATCAAACCCCTAGTTAAGAATTTAGTTAACACATAGTAATTAAATAAAACTCAATAATACTTGATAAATATTTCCAATAATCAATAAAGATAATGAAAGAATAAACAAGATTTAAAGAGTTTTAGAAATAAGAACGAGTGATAAATTGCTTGGATGGCTTTCCTTTGAAAACCTTGCCACAACCTTGAAAACTTAAGTTCTAAAAACAAACTATAATACAAAGATATAAAAATGGAGAAGAGGGAGAAGAGATGTAGAGTGTGCCCAATCTCTTTTACAATGATCCTGTCCTCTCTTTATATAGACTTCTTGGGAGAGAAACTTCTACATTGTTTAGGGAAATAAAAATTCCGCACCTTGTTTTATGGGATAAAGTTCTTCAATTCAGAGCTTGAAATTTCTCTCAATCATGTCTTCCATTGTGCAAATAATTAGGCTTGATTTGTATGTGAAAAGTTGTCCAAGATTAGCTCCATAAATTAGTGAAAGTTGGTTGGCAACTTTTGACTAAGTTTAGGATTCTTTGCTTGGCACGGGCGTGCACTATAGCACGGTCTAGGGCGTGCACTCCTCTGGAAGTCTTATGCAATAACAACACGGGCGTGCTGATTAGCACGGGCACTGTAGCTCGCGCGTGCTACTGTAGCTCGGGCGTGTGTAGCACGGGCGTGCTGATTAGCACGGTCTGGGGCGTGCACTCCTCTGGAAGTCTTATGTAATGACAGCACGGGCACTGTAGCACGGGCGTGCTTAATGAAAAAATCAAGTGGAGTTGTGTTTCAAGGATTTTTAAATAAAAACATATCAATATTACATAAAAAGCTAATTTAATAAAAATTAAAAGTAATAGAAATTTTAATCAAATTACAATAAAAATACTATAAAAATAACACTTATCAAGCCTTGAAGATTTTAAGCTGATTGGCACGTGCAGAAAGCAATTTTGTGCAGGTCAATGCAGCTGCCAGTCTAGAACTGACGTTCTTGGCCCAAATGCAAAATCTGGTCTTCAGCACGGGCGCACTATCTGGCATGGTTTGGGTGTGCTAGGCTCTAAGTCCTCAAGGTGGTTGCAGCACGGACCGTGATGGGGTGAACACGCTTACGGATCGACAACTTCTTTAAGCACAGGCATGCTCTCTGGCATGGCTGGAGCGTGCTGGCATTTGAACCTCAGTTGAATTTATCTTGAACACAGCACGGGGTGCTCAATAACACGCCCAGGTCGTGCCAGTCTTTTTGCGTAGGTACACTATTTTCTGCATTTTTGGCTAGTTTTCTATAAATTTTTGGCTAGTTTTCTATAAAAATGCTATAAAATTCCTCAAGATCAAACGAGATGTGATTTAAGGAAGCTTTAAACAAAAATAAAAATAAAACTAAATAAAAACCAATTAAAGTAATTAAAAATACTAAAATTCCTAATAAAAACTATATTAAAAAACAATAAAAATAATACCTATCATATATTTCCTACTACTTTTTTTTGCCAAAAGCATTATATTTAAATATTTTCTTTTGCGCATTTATAATCGAACTTGATAATAATTGATTCTAAAATAATCAATTTGATCTATCTATATACATGTATAAAAATTTTTCGTAATTACACAAACTTTTGATTGCTGGTTTTTCCCATTATAAAATATCTAGTTCAAACCAACAAATTGATAATTCACTATACAATGCTAAAGAAAATATGAAGAAGTTCATACGTGGTTTTGGCAAAATTATGGTTCCAATTGCTACGGATATCAGTTACTAGTGTAATTATGTGTTTGGTGGTTGTGTGTTTACAAGATGCTGTTTGAGAAGAACTGAAGAAGATGATGGAGCAGCAAGGCATGTTAGATGATCTTACTCATACCCTGCAATCTTCTCGTACATTGCATGTTCTGTTAGTTTTATGCGCAATTGTAAAGAGACTTAAGGTTATACAATGCTCTGTTAGTTTATCTATCAATGAAACTTGGAGTAAGAATTCTCAATATATCTTCATTCGATATAAATCTGAGCTAGCAATGAAAACATTCTTATACAAATCTTTTTAGCAATGATCAACATTCTTATACAAATCCATTTTCTGGAAGACAGTCTGATACATGATTGAACTAACTCACTAGGTGTTACATGTAAACTTGATGTCCTTTAGCTTAATTCCTCTTCAGTTGAACTTCTTTCTTGACTGTTGCTGAAGTCCTTTTCTCTTCCAAATGTATTCTCCAGCTCCTTAGCCAACTACTCACATATTCAAAAGGCCTGAATTTCACACCAAAAATAACAAATCATGTAATTACAATAATTTGATTGCTGTCTATATATTTTCTCTGATGCATATATCTAGATGTACCAGTTTGTTTGCTGCTGCTCAGATTTATTAGTTACTTGTTTCTCTGAATCTGACAGGTAGTGTGGTGGTATTTCTGCAACTTCAACTCCCAACTCAGCCTGCTTTGCTAAAATCTTCTTTAGTTGCTGCATAGAAAGTTCCCAAATGTTTGATTACATCAAACTAAAAATGCATTATGTTATGGTGTATAAAAATTAGTCTTTAATGACACTAATTTGACAATTTCAAAAAAAAAAAATAATAATCCATCAAGACTTACTGTCGAGACTTATTGTCAAAAAAAAAAAACAATAAAAAAAAATAAAACGCAAGACTTCATTGAGAATTAGTTGCAGAAACATGATATTATATAAGCAACAAAGGAAAAATGCTAAGAGCTTGTTTAGTGTAAATGGATTCTACAAATTATACCAAAATTGGTATGCTTGGACTAAATTATACATAAATTGGTAGATTCACAAATGAATTATAGACTGAAAAGAAGTATAAGCTACTAAAACTAATGAATTTTAAGTACAAGCTAGTAAAGCTACATATTTAGAATGAAATAAATTTTTTTAATGAAATTCATTTGCAAATGAAATAAATTTCACATAACACTATATAAATTACAATTATGATCAGAACTAATCTTCCGTTTTGAAGATGTCAGAAAACATGACATAACACTATATAAATCACAATTATGATCAGAACAAATATTCCTTTTTCTAAGCAACTTTTATTCTCTTTGACATTTTTTTCCCCTTCATTATAAGGTTAAGAATTTAACAAGCTAAAATGAATAAGAACATTTTACAGTTTCGGGCGACCCCTGATCAGGTTAAAGCCATATGGTGCCTGATAAAAAAGACAAGCAAATCTTGTCAATATAGAAGTTCAACTGCCTCTTTCTCTATCTCTCTCTATCCCCAAGCATTCCTGTTGGCTCAAGGGTCAATCTTTCAATCTCGGATTTTGATGATTAATACAAAACAAATAAATTTAGAATAATGTTATTTGTACTAATTTTGTTTTATGCAGAGATTATTTGGAAAGAATATCATACAACGCAAATCCAACTTTAAGTGTGAAGATTTCGAAGACCTAGTAGCTAGGTATTTAGGAAAACTTTGTAGGATAGAGAGAAAGTCCATATATATATGAGCACAAAAATCTTTTTCTCTCTTTTTTTATTGAAAAAGGAGAGATCATGGTCCACCGTAGTTCCTTATTAGTTCATACAAGTAGGTGGTAGGCGATAGATGTAAACTTGATGTTCCCTTTTTGCTTAATCCTCCTCACGTTGGAACGTCTTTGCCTTCTGCTAGTCGTTTGAGCAATGGCAGCCACTTCCTGAATGATGATGAAATTCTCTTGGCATGTTGAACCTTTGGCTTTGGGCTTAGTAGGAGCTTTTGGCAATCCCATCTAGGTCGATGATCCTCGAATCTGCTTCTCCTTTTAACTGGTATATCAAAAATTAATCATCAACAATCTCATATGAAGAGGAAAACATAATGCACTGGTAAAACTTAATAAAAGCCCAAATTTAGACCAACAAAAATAATATCTTACCCTTTATCAGCTTTCTTGATAATAAGATGCAATTTTCTTTTTGTAGACTCTAACTTGCTACCATAAGAGGCTTGTCAACTTCCACACTTGACTTTCTTTTTGCACTTGGGTTCTTTTTGTGTGGTTTTTCTTATCTTTCTTCACAATTTTCTGATGTCGCCTTTGTACAAAGATAATAGGTCTCTTTCAATTCTTCTGCTCTGCGTTCAAACCATCACCGGCTTATCATCAGCTACTTTGTGAGAGCTACTGTGAGAGAAAGTTTAATTAGTAACAGATAGAAAACGGAAATAAAGCAAAATTGAACAACATTTGTTAATTTTACCTCCTTCAAAGAATTTCTCAGGTCGCAAATCAAATATGATTTGAACCAAAGAAATTGTAAGGTCGTCCAAAGGAGGACAGGGGAGACCAATTTCATAATCTTCGTTTTCCATCACGTATACAGCAAGCAAAAATGGTGAGCACAAATGTAAGGAGGCCTAAGATTTTACCCTTCTCCTTCCTTGATGTATACAAATGATAACAAACACGTATATGCTTTCAATTACAGCTCCTGTCCCATTAACAAAATATAGTTCTTGGAAACGAATGGTAGGCTATACCTATACAGAAATTGTTCAAATCAGTAATTACTCAAAGTTATAATACATGTGATTAGATTGAAATTTGAAACTGAATAAAAAAAATACTCATGATTAGATTGAAATTAATGATCCCAAGAACAGAACAGGATAGAAAAAGAAATATGGATAAAAAAATAATAATAAAATATTCAGGAATTAAACCAAGAAATTTAAAACCAAGAAATATACTCATTACTCTTTATGCGACGCCTGAGAATTGCTCTGTTGATTTACTCTATATTGTTCTCCTGAAAGTAATCCTATCAAGAAATCAGTAGCTAATCAGAAATCAACATTTTCAAGAATAAATAAAACCAAGAAAATCAAGAATACAAGAAGAACAAGAACAAGAGACAGAACAGGAGAGAGATATATAATTACGTTGGAGACAATTACATCGCATCAATTTTAAGTTCAATTATGAGATTTATTGAAATCGATGGAATTAAAATTACGGCTGTGATTTATCATTGACTACCATCGTCTTTTCATCAAGAAAAAACATGCACCACATACATAGCAATGAAAAGAAAGATACATACATCATGAAAGAAAGATACATACATACATACATAATATCAATAATAGAGAAGAAGAAGAAGAAGAAGAAGAAGAAGCACCTTGTACTGGAGTGGAACACCAATGTTAGGGCCACCTATCTAGATGCAAGTTACAGATTGATTAAAGGACTTAGCGTCCATAACAAGCTGCCAAACCTGTTTTGCCAAAGAACAATCACGGAATAGGTGTGGAAAGTTTTCACTTACGCCACATAGTTTGTAGCTATCTAAGGAAGCAAAAGCATGATGCATTCTTTCATAATTGGTCATTAGCTTATCAATTTGGAATAGCCACAAGAAGCATCTAACCCGTTGTAGTACTTTGAACTTCCAAAGACCATACTAGGGCACTATTTAAGGAGGGAGAGACCTGTTCTCCACCATCTTATAAGCTGAGGAAACAAAAAAAGTTCCACTGGGAGTAGAGTCCAAGCAAGAGCATCTGAAATGTAGGGATCATCATCAAGAAAAATAGCTCAAGTAATTTGCAAACTGCAGGAGGTAAGAAAGGAGTCAAAATGTCCCATCTCTAGCAACCATTAGCCTAATAGTTATGCACCAGACATCTGCCCACTTAGCTGGGATTGGACAGATAGCAGCATTTCTGAGGGCACTAGGAAGAAGCCACTTATCAATCCAAAAAGCAGCGTTAAAACCACTACACACTACTTTCATCAAACCTTGCTGCAAGATAGGGACTGTTTTGACTATACCCCGCCAAATGCAAGAAGCGTTAGACCTATCCAAAATAGCATCAATATGGTTTCAACCCTTTATATATTTAGATTTCAAAAGCAGGCACCAGCCTAACTTCACTAAGAAAGCTTCATGAAAAGCTTTCATTTGTAGCTCGAAACGGAGCGGAATTCCGCAAGACCCCTTTTGGACATTTGTATAGTTACCTTCTCCCAGTTGATCAAATGGAATTTTCTTCTTTTTGCTAAGAGGTTAGAGCCCTATAGGAATCCCTTACCTTTTTATCAAGAATTGGTCATACAAAGGTTTTGGGTAAAGAAAGAAAACTGCCATTAATAATGAATTTACTAAAGCTGTGAGCACAAATTTGGCTAATGTCAGAAGCCAGTAAAGGAGGAAACACCCCATCTTCCCAACCTTACAAGATGTTTCTAATCAATACGAGCCAAGTAGAGGACGAATCTACATTCATTTTTCTGTCGTGGCCTGAGCTTTGACAATATGTTATCTCGTGAAAACGGGGCGACATGTTTCTGTGAAAAACAATGATAAAAAAGATTTGGCATAAATTTAACCTTTTCCTCCCGACATGGAAATAGAAAAGGGCTAAACAAGTCTTTAAAACGATATTAATCTATCAAGAGAGACTTCAACTAAAAGTGAGACTTCAACTAAAAGTAAGAGCTCATCTGCAAAGAATAGGTGGGACAAGGCTAGACCTCCTTTAGATGAGTGAATAGGCTTCTAGGAATCATTGCTGACAGGATCCGAATAATGTGCCCTAATCTCTCTATTGCCAAGAGAAAAAGATAGGAAGAGACTAGATCTCCTTGTCTAATGCCTTTAGGAGTAAAACGGTCAGAAGCTTTACCATTCCATAAGATCTTCATAAAATAAGCATGGAGGCATTGTGAAATCAAATTTCTCCAGCGAGTGGAAAAGCCTACAAGTTTAAGACATTCATCTATGAAGGTCCATCGAAGTCGATCGTACGCTTTTTTTCAGATTGATTTTAAGAACCATCCAGCCCATAAACCTAGTTTTACTATGCATAGCATGGATAACTTCTTGGTAGACTACAACATTATCATGGTGGAGTTATTGACCATAAATAAAGCTACTCTGAGATTTAGAGACTAAATGAGGAAAGACTTGTCACATCCTATTCGTAAGAGCCTTAGTTAAAATGTTAAAACTGACATTACAGAGACTTATGGCCCTAAATTGGGTAATTATTTCTAGAGATGGAACTTTGGGTAATAAAGCAACCAAGCTACTATAGACTCCACTAGGAAGAATGCCATTATTCAGAAAGTTTAAAGCAAAAGTAGCAAATGCAGGAATAATAATCCCCAAAAGTTCTTATAAAATGCTGCTCGATAGCCATTAGGACCCAGGGCTTTATTTGGAGCCATAGCAGAAATGCAGCTTTAACCTCTTCTACCTGAAAAGGACTATTCAGGAAAAGACTATAAGAAGAAGTTAACACCGGATTAGTAGCAGAAGTTGTACACGCAACAATAAGAGTTGCCTCCTTTGAGTATAAAATATGAAAATATTTTACCGCCATATTAGCAAGCTCACCAATCACCATTAGCAGATTTTAGAGCAAACATTTGCTTTTTAGATCCCTTAAGAACTGTAAAGGCGTGAAATATGCGGTATTCCAATCTCTACCTGAAACCCAATCCTTTTAATTTTTGAAACCAAAGCAACTTTTCCTGGTCAAGAACTGAATCTAGTTCCCTCTTAAGCCGAAGTTGAAGCTTCCAAAGGCCGGGTTGGGAAGTTGAAGCTTCCAAAGGCCGGGTTGGGCTCCTGAACAAATTTTCTCTCGAAAACCTTTCAGCCAAGCTAACAGATGCCTCTTAAGTTGATGAACATTACCAAAAACATCTCTGCTCCATAAGGAAAGAGAGGAGCTAAGATGGTTTAAGTTTTGTTCAATAGGAGACCAATTGCCCACAAACACCCACTTAAGATCTCTATGAGCACAGCATTAAATTTTGAAAACTGAATCTAGAAGAACTAGGGGTGTAATTCGGACAGTATGGAATGGAATGACACTCGTTCCAATTCCATTTCAAAATATTGTGGAATTTGAAATTACACTCCATTTCATTCCAAATATTTTTTGGAATTTAACATTTTATTTCATACCATTCAATTGAAATTCTATTGGAATTTGTCAGTTCCAAATTTCTTAATTTTTTAAGATGTAAAATTTTAAATTTAATAAGAAATAATCATATCATGACCATTTTTTTAAGAATGTAAATTTTGAAAAATTTAATAAGAAATAATTACGCATACTATAAATACTAAAAGATATAATTAAATTAATTAAAAATACTAAGTTAACTATCAACATAATAAGTGAAAAATCCTAAATACTTTATCTCACATGTTCGTAAGATAGTAGGGTATGCTTACCCTTAAATTTTAAATAATTCAATTCATATAATTAACAACTTAATACTTAATAATAATAATAATAATAATAATAATAATAATAATAATATATAAATAATAATATAATAATAAATAAATCAACTAAAGTCAATTACATTCATATTAGGATACATTCATGATTAGGATATACTGAACTATATGTAGTCACCAATTCCCATTAAAAGTGCTAAACTCCAATATTATATATATATATATATTATAATATATATATATATAATATATATATATATATATATATAATATATATATATATATATATAGAATAATTATGAGTCTAAAGCATACTAAAATATTTTAAAATCCAAATAATCTAATAAAAAGTAAGGCATTATTAAACTAAAATCATAAATTTAAATCCAATCAATAAATTTAAATCCAATAAAGTATATATGAATGTTAAAGCACATGGTATATATTAATTACTAATTAGTCTTAGGGTTAAAATATTCTATTAAGCTACAGAGTTTTAGAATTAAATAGAAGTTTTCTTAAAAAAAATGAAAAATTAATGGTATTTTATTCTAATCTTTAATTTAATATTTTATTTTAGAATTTATGACTAGAAACTAAATAATAATAAAATAAAAGTTTGGTATATGGATTGGAATATGAAATTTTATTTTTTGTTATCTTTCCATATTCCAATTACCAATATTTAAGAAATAAATTCTATTTTAAATTCCGTATTTCAAAATTTCATTCCAAATTAATATTTGGTTTGAAACTAAGAGGAACTGCAAACTTGAGTTGTACATTCCAAATTAATATTTGGTTTGAAACTAAGAGGAACTGCAAACTTGAGTTGTATTGAGATTTAGCAAAAGCAGATAATGATCCGAAACCGATCTAAACTGTAGTACATACCATAGCTGAATAAGACAAAATCCATCCATCAACGCCATAACTGAAAATTAGTTTTATATATATATATATATTAACACAATACATAAACCATTACTCCCAATACACAACATTACAGAAATTAAGCTCAGAGTTTGGCCCTTTTGGGCATTTTAAGCATCTGAGGCCTCCTTTGGCTTCAAATCAATGATTTGAGATGTTGATGACGAAAAAGATATGAGGTTAGGGTTTCTGGATTTTGTACCGAAATTGAGGTTCCATTAAAGAAAATTGTGATTCAAACTTGTCAGTAATAGTGCTTGAGATTCAAAAATCGAGGTTGAAGTAAAATTGGAGAAATAGAAAATGGGGTTTACGAAATTTATCTGATAAAAATTTATCTGATAAGTGAAAATGGAATTCAAGAAATTAGCAAATGATTCAACATTGGTGGTGTTTTTGGCCACAAAATTAGAGGAAATACAATAAGAATAGGAGGTACTTAAAAGCTTTGAGGAGATCCTACGGGAGCCCAATATCCCATAAGAGTCATTGCTGCCTATTCTGCCTAAGAAACACAAGCTCAAGAATTAGGGTTTGTGTAGAAGGCTTGTATGAGACTCTTTCTTTATGATATCCTAATAATTCTAATAATTTATTATATCCTAGACTTTGGCTACTTGCCAATGGTACATCTTTATTATTTAAGTATTGTGGTAATGAATTAGCCAATTTTAAGGAGAGAAAAACATAGACGGTTAAAAGTTTGCGGTCTA